ATATGAATCTTGTATGTAGTTCGCTGACGTCAAAAGCAATAAACATCAATATTTATAATGAATATTAATGGTTACAATGGACACACAAAGAAAATGATTCTTTAGGAAACAAGGAAAAAAGGAGTGACGATCTTTGGAAAAATATAGGAAAAAGATCTCAGCTTTATAATAAAGAATGCAACTACGTGATAGATTCTGAATTCAACAAAACCTATTAAAACTCTTTTTTTTTTACTACGCTTTATTAATTTGAATTAAAATAGTTGCTATGCAAGGAGGGAAATTGCCCGTAACAATATTACCAAAGGGTTTCGGAGCAGTGTGTGTGTACTAAATTTGAAATATTTTCAATAGCCGAATGAATATATAGGTATGGGATAATAGCTCAGCTTCATCATGGGCAATTTCCCCCCTTTTAAAAAAGTATTCTTTTGTATAAAAAGAAAAGGAAGGTGTACATCTGAAATGACTATCTCATAATTCTCCTTTCCAAAGTCAATGAGAAATGAAACGCAGAAAGCAAAACACTTCTACCTGTAATAAAAAGAACAACATTCCATCCATGAGAGAAGGGAAAAAAAGCTTCAAGTACCTCTTTGTCACAAGAAATATTTATCTAATCCAATGAAAACGGTGTAGCCTTTATATTAAATCCTGCGCCGAACAATAACATGGCGACTGCCATTATTACTTGGCCCTCCCCCCAACAAATACTTCCGATGTTTTTCCTAGAAACAGAGTCAATAGAAAGGTTCTAGAAAGCATAACAATAAGAAACTTGTAATGGTAAGACCCTGGCCTTGTCTACGTTTAAGCAGTATCTTTACGAGGATCGGCTGCAATTAGTTGTATTGGAAAGAGAGGATGGCATATGGGTTTCGATCCAAAACACGCGGCTCGTTTATTATTTTTCAAACTGGTCACAAGAGAAGTAAGCTATTCAAAGCACTTCTCTTTAAGAATCTCATTATTAGCATTAGGACCTTCTTTAATAATATGGGATGTCCGGTTGCTAAAGGTAATAGATTCAGATATAAGGAAAAAAAACACTAATTCTGTCTGGGAAGGAACAAATAGGTATGTATTCATGTAGTTAAAGAAAAGAAAGGAGAAAGCGCAGATTTAAGTTTTTTCTTTTTTTTTCTCCTTTTTTTTAAGGAAAACAATTTCCTATTAATGGTAATTTACTTCCCTTTTTCATTCTGAGAGGGGGATGAATGCCGTAACTGAGCAGCTATGATCGCTAACATCGTACATATTGTGGCTTCGAGTTCTGGTACCACTAAAGACCCACCATGTAGAGAAACACACGTTAAATCTGTTGAAACATAAAGTCTTCATGGTTGTATGTTGTGGAAATTTGAATAGTAGGATATTGTCCTAGACCAGCGATACTCAATCTGCGGCCCGCGGGCCTCATGCGGCCCACCGGACCTTTTTAAGAGGCCCGGTCGTGCCCCATTGCTTGGAGAAATTAATTTATTTATGAAAATTTAGTGGAAAATTCTTTGTTAAGAAATCAAATATATTAATTTTGCTTTTTGCTGTCAATGTCGTATGGATGAGAATAGATATTTTTTTCTGATTAGTGATAATAGACGACACTGGAGTAGAGACAATTTTATGAATGAAACTAATTTTTAACTATCTTTCATATCTTGCAAACGAAAAATATTCGAAGAAAATATGTTGCTTCAAGACGATTGGTAAGTTGACTATTTTGTAGTGAAAAACAAGCATGAATCAGTAATTGTTTGATTTGTCATGAAAGTTTTGTATTTAAAAAGTACCAATAAACAAGAATCGTTCAGTGACACTTTTCCTCGAAGATCTCTTGCAAGAGGTTATAACTAGGCTTTACCTTGAATAATCTTTACTGCTGCAAAAAAAAAAAAAAATTTTAAAAGTGGTAATGTCACAGCGGTAACAAAGGCACCCTATGAAATTTGTTGTATTATTGGTAATTGCATGAAACCGTTTACTGATGCAGAAATTGTGATGGAGTGTTTCTTAAATGCTTCGAATTCAGTGTTAGTGACAAAAATAAAAATATCCTCATGTTACGGCCCGTATGAAATAACTAACACATGTATGCGTCCCGCGTGAAATAGCTGACATATGTATGTGGCCCAGTTGAAAAAAAGGTTGAGTATCCTGTCCTAGACGCTTGTCCGTGGTTCAAAATGACGAGGTTCGTCACTTATAGCCTTTATGTAGCTTCATAGTGTGATGTTCTCAAACAATCATTCAAAGTGAAAGTGGAATTCACTGCTTCGTTTTCTTCATAAATTAAGAATTAATCCAAATAATATAAAGAAAGAGAATCCCTTAAACATAAATTGTTCTGCAGTTGCAATCTGGGATGATAAAGACGAAGAGAGGACTTTCACTGTCTTCAAATACTCGAAAATTTTCTAAGTATTTAAGAATCAAGATATTAATCTCTTCTTCGTCTAGTTCTCGAGCGCTCAGATTATAGCTAAATTACTTCAACTATAATGTAAAAAATAATAATTTATTCTTAATATTCCTTATTCTATACTCTTTATTCATTTTCTTTTAGCATTACTAACAAATAGAGAATATTTATACAGTTGTTTATAGTACGAATTGGCCAAACAATATGTCCACTAAAACTGAATTTTAAGAAAAATATATAAATTGAAAGTGAACTTTAATATATATATATATATATAATATTAAAGCATTTAAAAAATATGTGAACTTATATTCAAGAGGGCAAAATATAAAAGGATGAAAAAAGTTCTACTGCATTTAAAAATAATACTAATTTATAAGGATAAAACTCAAACACTTCAGTTTCATATTTCGTTAGTATTTGACATAATTTTTTTTATATCAAAGTTATTTGCAATACTTGCATTTATATGTCAAAGGTCACAATAAAAGGAACATTAGAAAAATGTTTTTCCAAGAACGTTTCTGAAATACATTATAAATATATTTAAATCTCTTAATTTCAGGGGGAAAATTCGAAGTTAGTTTTAATGGCATAAATCAAAACTTTAAATTATATAATTGAGTTCAAAGAGAATGTGCGTACATTAGGACAGAAATATGAACTTGATAACATCCGCAGATAAGTTTAACAGATCACTAAATTTTCCAAAATACATTTATTTCTGTAAATGACGGAAATACCATTTATAAGTACTATTAATTCCTGTTTTTTTTTAAAAATATTATTCGAAATTTTCATATTTGAGACTTAAAGAAATACATATAACATTAAGCAGTAATATACATAACTAAAGAAACAAAAAGTTCTGTTATTTGGATAATATTCTCTATTTCTTTAAATATTAAGGTACACAAAATTTTTTTCGACTTCAGATTGTATTTTATTTGACTGACTTATATCTGAGGAATTAACTTATAAAAGTGATTAAATATTTTATAGATTTTAGCATTTAAAATTGAAATTGAGAATATATTGCATGTTGGATAATTGTATTTCCCTTTTTGTATTTCTTCAGAAATTATTTTTTTTATCGTAAAATAAATGATCAAATGATTTATTTCCTTGCGGATACATATATTATAGATTTTTAGCAAAACTTTGAACTCGTATCATTTGTGAAACTCAAATAGTCATCTTTACTAATCCTGATTTACTTAAGCGCTTAATCCTGAAAACATTTCAATGCTTTTCAAGCATTCTATTAGCACAAAATACTTCTTTCTCTACAAAAGGTAATATAACTACTGATTAGGCTTCTTTGACTTCATTATATCCTACACGTATATACTAAAGCTTAAAGGGATTTGATAGTACTTCTGATAGTACAAACTGATACCTAGAAATTCATCCTAAAAGAGCCGTTTTCTCCATTAATCCTCCATCACTTTTTATTTCGTCTCAAGGTAATTGTATTTAACTTCTGTAATCTTACCGTAGCCAATGTTTGGATGACCTTTTTTTCAAAAAAAAAATAATGAGGTACATGTAAAATTAAGCCGAAAGAATAGAGAAGATGAAACAATGGGAAAATTGGAAAATGTTTTTCTGTCTTTGTTTAATCTATAATCTTCGAAGGTTCTTTATTATGCTTACGGAATATCTCTAAGGGATTATGTAAGGCTTATAAGCAAATCCTGCTTTCAAACCTAGGAGTATTTTTTTTTCTTTACTTTCTTCTCTTCATCTTGATCTTAAACTTGAACACGTGGAAGGCCAGGAACTCGGATAGTTTTACTATGTTCTTAAACTGCTGGTTGAAGACAGGGTGAAAAGTGTAGTTCATTAGTTGAAAACATTTAAGAACAGTATAGATAGAATTTATCCCAGATAAGGAATCCTACAATTGAAACATTCTTAACAGAAAACGAAGACATTTATCTTCCAATCTGTCAGATGGAAAAGAAAAGGCAATAAAATTTCTATCCTTGTCATGCTTTCCTTAACTTTCGTGCTCAAAAAGTTTGTAATTATAAGATTGGTATATTTCTGTGTGTACCCTCAGGTTAGTAGTCATCAAATTTTCAACACGAAGTTCATATAATTTATTCCTGAACCTCTCAATATGTATCTGAATGTTCGCATGAGTTTTATTATTGTGTATATTTTTAAGAGTGACTTAACCCTTAAGCGGTCAATATTTTTGCCCAAAATACTTTTAGAAAAGGCACATTTTTAATTGCTTATAACTAAGCATTTTGCTTTTTGTTTTTAATGGAGCTGCGGATTGTTGTCTTACCATTTCAGACCTGGTGCATTCCCCGATATCTGGTAGCTCTTTTTAGTGCGGCACCACATAGGCGGATACCAGTCACCACAGGTAATTTTGACCCTCAGTTTCCTACACATATGGAGAGCTCTGGCGATTGAAAATCGTACTTAGAATTTTAATTTTGTCTCGAGCACCTAAGCCAAACAGGCACTAAGGAAATCATTTACATGTAGCATAATCATGCGACATGACCGCTGTCGATTTTCTGCAACATGAAATTCCTCCGACTTCGGTGATACATTTTTTTGAACCTGTAGTGGATGACACTTGATGTTGGACTTCTAATCCAAAGATCGTGGGTTCGAATCCCACCTGGGATGGCCTAACTTCTGAAAATGTGATTTCTTTTTTACTGTACTATTTTATTAGAATAATTAAATTTAATTAATGAATAAACAGCAACAAACAAACAAACATTTCAACATCATACATAGAAAGAAAAATGGAAAATTGCTGTTTTTTCACTTAATATTGTGCTTCTGTCACTTTCCTGCGACATATATACATATTTATATTAATTGCAGTTGTTTAATAAAAAGTAAATAAAATAAAATTTTTCTTTGTTGATCTATGTAGGAATTGATTTAAATTTTTTTTATATTACTTATTTATTTTATAATTGTGGAACACAAATACTCCTAAATTTTTGCCTTTTATAAGTGCACTCTGCATGCTATGAAACATGTTTCCTGTATTTTAAAGGAATTTATCTCAGGTTTACAAAAAAAAATTCATGTTTGTACCTCTTTTTCAAACGGTCGAGGATTGTGTGTGCGTGTGCATATATACATGTTCTCATAGTTTGAAGCATGGTGTAACATTAAGTCTTATATTGCAAAGGGGACAAATATAATATCACACAGCTTTTTTTGGATTATCTTTCCATTTTCATTTCTTCTCAAGCAACAAACTGCACATTGCATTGCTAATTCCTGTTCTTTATCAAATCTTTTCAAGAGTCTAAATTCCTGCCTTCCATGAAAAATTCCCGTCTTCACCACAAAGAAAATACCGCATGAGAAGTTTTTCAGTACCATGGACACACACAAACTATATATCTCTTAAAAACACTAGTACTAATAATTTTACTTTAAGAATTAAAAATACGTGCAAATCAAAGATAGAATGAAGAAAACACCAGAGAGAGAGCCCTTACAGCGCACGGGCAAATCGGTTACATCCAGCTTTTGGTAGTCCGTATGGTGTACGGAAAAAATCAATTAAGGGGTTAAGTTTAGACTGTTATTTATTTTTTTTTAATTTGCTAATATTGTACTCACATTTATTTATTTATAGATTGGTGTATTTTACCATTATAGAATCCGATCAAAGATAAATGCTTTGAGAATTTATAGAAATATGTTGCAAGTTAAAAAGTTCAAGTGCCTTTTGACTGTTTGACAATAATATCAAAACTAAATTTATTGTAAATGAACTATATTGCTTATATACAAGTATATCTAATTTTTTGCATTTAATAAGCTGCAGTAAGTACAAAACAAAAGTTATTTACAATTTTTATGGGAAAGAATCAAGCAAAATTATGAGATAATTTTTCACCTCATTTTTTCTTAAGGTACTTTGACACTAAATATATCATTTCCCAAATTAATAATAATACCGTATTAGATTAATATAACACATCATCAAAATTTTTATAAATATATTAAAAAGAAAAGTGATCCGAATTTATTGCACTCTAATCATTTTTCATCTAAGAATGCAAAGAAAATAAAATTCAGTCAGATAAATATTTATTTTATAATAAGTAATAAAACAGATTACATCTCTGTGACAATGAAAGTAAGTACTATTTAATGAAATTAAGTAATACTAGGGAAGTATATATATATATATATAAAAAAGAAACATATTTAAAAAAAAAAGAACATTCTATTACTTAGACCTTAAATTACGCCCGAGTAAAACTTTTTAAAGGAAATGATTAGTCAAAAATTATCGCGTAATATTTAGACTAATATGGTAGTACAAAAAGTCGTTTGATTTTTAGGTAGAATCGTAAAATAAAAATGGAATACATTTATTATTTTCCCAACCATCATTGCAGTTGAGAAAATTTATATCTATGTAAATGGCTAAAAAAAACTAAATTATGATTTCAATGGATTAATTAATTAATTTAATTCACGTGAATAGTAATCTACAATTTTTTTTCTTTTCTTATCAAGAAATCGATATTTTTGTAAAATTATTCAGAGTGGTCTAAATGGTTTAAGCTCAAAACTGTTTCTAATTCAACCCCTAGTTTAAAAAATATTCGAAGTAAACCTTTAAGGAGCATTATAACATTTCATGTGCTGAAAAAACACTTCATAAATTTTTTCCTGTTTCTTAAGATCCCCTGATAAGTACACTGATAATTTTTCAAGCGGGTATACAAAATTTTAAGATCCTGTAGTCTTGTATCACAAATTTTGACCTTAAATATATTGATAATTATTGGAGGTAATTGTGTGAATTTTTGAATACAATGCTTTTATGACATGTGGAATCTAGACCTTGAAAGATTTTGATGCTTTATAATTTATGCTCTAGAACATTATCAAATAAATCATATTTTTATAATAATATTGCTATTTCGATTTTTCTTGTGTTTAAGAGTCAGAAAATAGTTGTACATCATTTTATGGAGATAGCTTCAAAAAGTGTTCAGTTGAAAATTTGATATAGTCAAGTGTATTTCCATTGACGTTCCCAGTTTTTTAAACTCTTGCAACGTTAACATTTTCCAATACAATCTTACGAAAAGTAAAAAGCTTTTCCATGAGGAAAAATCAGATACAGAATACAGACATTAATAAAAAAATTCTGTTTTTCAGTTAATTATGTTTATTAAAATAATTATTCAAATCAATAATACTATAATTCAGTTGCGTTTTGTGTGTGTGAGCTATTAAAAATTATACGAATTTTCTCAACTGCGATGAGAAATATAAATGCCACTTTCCTTGGCTATTGCATATATAAAGTTGTTTTCTTTGGCTAATAATTAAACGTTAACATGGTTCGTTTCCAACAATGTCATTATGGAAACATCAATGCTTATGACAACATTAAAAAATACCCATAAAGAACATAAGTTAATAACTTATTATTGTTTTCATTATGCAATAGACAGGGTTTTAAACAGTTTCTAAATCCTTCTGTCATTCCAAAGTGACAACATAATTTATATTCCAAACATATTTCATTTAAGATATGTTTTTTTATTATTATTCTTGTTTATTTTATTATATTTAAGAGTTTGTAGTTATTACGAGTTATTATATACTTAAGTTAAAGATTTAAATTAGGAAATCTGCATAGTGTTTTAGATAAATAAATGGAGATCAGCTATGGATAAATATTATTCTGTGCGATAAACTAGATACAAACACAGAAAATTCACCATTCGTTGCAAAGGTGATCTTGTTAAAGATTTTTGAAGAACTTAATTTTGGAAAAGCTTTAGATATTTAGAGTCTTCAATGAATTTTAAAACACATTGAAATTTGTAACAGACAAACAAGACACCGAAGGCACTTTTCAATATCAAAAACTACCTGTTATACAGTTTATCGATTTAGAAATTGTAAAGGGTTTATTTTGAATCTATTTGAATTTGTGGTGCTTAATTATTATTTTACATTTAAAAAATTTCTAATGCAATGAAAAAGGTATGCAAATTTGTATTTATTAAGATTTATTGTGGAATCATCATTCTGAAATGAGAGAAACACATCGTGAATGTGATTATGACCTTGAATTAAAACTGACCCTGCGTCTAAGGTCTGAAGAACATAATTTGGTAAAAAAAAAGTTCAATCACACGTAAAATAAAGTATTTTATAGAATATGTTTGGATGAAATGATCTATAAATATGGCTGAACATTTCCATGTAAATGGCTTTAAGGCACCTCCTCCCCCTCCAAAAAAAAAAGATGCTGCAAGAAAAATTTTCTCGCCATCTCGTGATAAAGACTGACAGTGAAAGATATATCTTTGGCATATCCATCTTTCTCTCACGTAAGCATTACAACGACGTCTTCGCCTAGCAATCGATGTCTTCCCATATTCTTACCAACCCACTTGGCTGTTTCGATGATTGAATGGCCAAGATACTGGCGTCGAAGTCAAGAGGCTAGATTCGAATCCAAGTTCAGGTATACGCTTACGTTATAGTGCTGGACGGTCCTCGGGCAAAATGCTATAGTAACTGAAAATCTTATTGGGTATGCGTTATCCTAGACTCATATGTTGAAGCTACAAATACAGTTGGTAATGGTATCCAAAAAGAAATGTTCTGAATTTCTTTTGAGTCAACTTCCAAAATTCGAAGCATATCTTTTTTCCTATTTTATTCACGTAAAGTTCACAAACTCCTACGTATTGTAGTTTCTAATGCTACTTATTTAATAATAAATATATATGCAAGCTTTAAGTATATATATACTAAAGGTAAAATAAAGATAAATTTGACATTGCTTCTTAAGCTGTGTTATTATGAATTATCTTTTGAATATGTTTTATAAAAATATATTAAACTGAAACTCGTCATTTGGGATCTTAAAATGCGTGATTCTGTTTTCGAATGTGTGAAATGGAAGTTTACAGGTATATTATTTATTGTAAAAATTGCATCAGTTTTAAGCAAACCAAAATGTATACATAAAAAAATCAGACATTTCTCCCTATTTTCTGAAGTACATAGAAATCCTTGTGAAAAAAGGTGAAATATCAAGCAAACTCGAAGAATTCTTAGAAAACTTCCTCAGCTTAGACCAATAAATCACATTTTTATGAGCGCCATCAATAAAATATCAAGGAATTTACGATTAATAAATGGGACCTTAATATTACTATAAAAATTCGAGAGCAAGTGGACTTATGGCGTATTAAGCAATATTTTCAGAAAATTTTTGCTTCATGTGCCATAAAAAGGACGAAATCACCTTTGCTATCAAAATAAGGTCGAATATCAGTGGCAGCTAACTGAGCGGAAGAGTGAAAAATTGGTTAGATTTACTGATTGCGACTGCAGTTCCAAGCGACCAAAATGTATTTCCGGAAGGAGGGGACGGATGGAAAAGAGTGCTTCGGTTAAAGATGAGACGTAATTTCAGTTAAAGAATAAACTTCTTTTCGCGTCCACTTCGGATTAGGTTAATCGATTGTATAATTCCAGTTCCTAATATAGTACAACTTTTAGTTTTTATCCAGAATCATCAATGAAAAGCTAACTTGAAAAATATACTATGTTTGATTTTAATAAACAACCAACATTTAGACGAATGCTAAGCCGAATTTTTTGTAGAGAAA